TCTCTCTCTCTCTCTCTCTCTCTCTCTCTCTGTGTGTCTCTACACGTTTACATGGCATCAGAGCAAGATCCTTAGGGTTTGTCCTTGCCTTTTCTTCCTTTCTCTCTGGTATCCAATAATATAAATATATATTATATATATACATAGTGTGTTGACGAAGTTCATCTCCTATTAATGTTCAGTTGATGAAGTTGATGGCGTTCAAGTAGTTCTTGCTGTGATTTGAGTGGTGTTGATGCCTGTTGTGCATCATTGCTGATCGTGGTTTCGGTGTGGTTAGATTTGGGTTAGTGACTGCGTCTTTGTACCGAAGGCATTTGTCTAATCGTTGTAATCTTGGTGTGGCTCTGGTGGTGTCGTTGGATTGTTGAGTGGTGTTGTTGCTGGAGTTGTGCTAGTTCCGGTGCCATTGGTGGCGGTGGTGTTCATTGCCCTAATTGCAGTTAGTGTCACGGGGGTCAAATTACACTCGAATTTTCTGTTTCGTGATAACACTGAGATCTAACACTCAGTCTCAGCCAATGCACACAATCGCTCACAGAAGCACACAATGTACATAATATGGGTAAACACACAAACTCACAACATGCACACAAGCATTACATGTCAAATGACCAAACTTTTCACTTCTCAGCAAGCCTAAAGGGAACCGGCTAGGAATTTACTTACAAAACATGCTCAAACTCTCTTGGTTGCACTACAGACCCTAGCATGCCTATAAATAGCATACAATGTGGCGGTTACAAGCCCAACCGTCTAGAAAATGCAAGCATTCATCAAATTTCCCCCCTAAGACCTGCTGATCATGGTTGAATCCTTCTACCACTCCCACAATGCGCTGATCATGGCAGGGACAATTGCAATTGTTGGCGGAGCTACTTTGCATGTTGTGTGCGCATGCCAACAACTTCCCTCATGCAGTGCACATGCCAGCATTCTGCACAAAACCGCCTTGCATGTCATGCACATGCCAACACCTATCCGAAACCGCCACCACCTACAGTGCACATGCCTTAACTGCTCCGAATCACCTCATGATGTGCACGTGCCTTTCTTGCAAGCCCATAGCACCTGATTTGCCTTGCCTTCATGCCAAGTCATGCCCAGCCCATGGCTTGGTCCTCCAAGCTAGCAATGTCCCACAATTCAAGCCCACCGGCTAGCTTTACTTGCTTGTACTCAATGTGCCCATGCATGAGCTGACTTCCTCAGTCATGCATGGGGCTTCAATCAACCCACTAGTCATGCCCAACATGACCATGCATACATTTCTTCCTTAGTCATGCATGGGGCTTCCACTAACGACAGGTCCCACCGATCATCGGCTCCACATCTCGGATCTCAGACTTTGGAATGTCTTACCTACACCCACGGCAAACATTTGTTAGGACTGTGCCTTGCTTTGGTGTGCCAAGGCTGAGGAGCATAAGGGTCCACCCAGCGGAAGCTAGTCTGACACCCCCTTCGCGAAACACCCCCTTATAATAGCGTTAGTGAGCAAATCCCTTTTGACAGCAACAGTCATACTCTGAGCCGAGGGGTCATAATAACTTGAACCAGGGACATTGTCGTTGCATGCCACTTGAGCCTTTGCCAAACCACTTTGTAACCAGACCAAGTACACGTCCAAGTCCTTAGGAACCCATCTTTGCGCTATGGGTTTGTTTCACCAAGTACAACCCAATTTGGCTAAGGCATTCACGCCTTTAGGCAAGGTAGCCACATGTCAATGCCGAGTCAACGAACTAAGGGGGTAACAATTAGTGTGAAGGGGAAGACCCCTATTTGGGTGCTTGTTTGGGTTAACTCCAGTCCATCTATTCGTATTCCTCAGTTAGATAAGGAAACAGGGTTTGGCCCAGTCCAGCAGCCCAGTTAGGCAAGGCCCAATCCAGCAACCCAGTTAAGCGTCCAGTTGGTCCAGCCCACTCAACCGGTTCATCTATTAAACCGGTTTATCTCAACTGTGTTCCCGGTTCGGTTCGGTTTTGGCAACTTCCCACCTAGTTCAGGCAGCTTCCCATCTGGTTCAGGCACCCACTGTGTTATTCGGTCTGGTTCAGGCAGATATTCAGCCTGTTCAGGTTGGTTCTGTGTCGTTTACCGCTAGCTAAGCAACTTTCAAGCCGGTTCTGCTTTGGTTTCAAGCGGTTCAGCCACTCTCAAGTTGATTCTGATGTGTTTACTACTGGTTCAGCTATCCTTAGGCTAGCCCTGCCTTGGTTCCAGGCAGTTCAACAGTCCAGTTTGCTCCCTCCTGGATTTTCTTTCAACTGGCTGGTCTTCTTGCGTTATTGTCTCCCATTATGGATCCTAAGGTAGTTACTGTGCCTCTCACTACTATTCTTGCTCCCATAGTCTCTATTCCTCCGCCCAATTTTTATACTGCCTCTTTCTTTAATGCTCCTATGACATCTGTCAAATTAAATGAGAGTAATTATGTGTTGTGGGCACGAGTTGTCGCTATTTTGCTCAAGGGTAAAGGGCTTCGCAGCCATTTGGTAGACAATAACCCTACCGATAGTGATTCTAGTTTTAACCAATGGGAAAAGCAAATGCCCATATTATTTCTCTTTTATTGACTAGTATTGAACCTCACATCAGTTCTTCTTTACTTTATTTGGATACTCTGCCAAGGAGATTTGGGATCGTCTGACTCACATCTACTCTAGTTCTAGTATGAGGTATACCGACATTTTTTTAGCCTTCAGTAGTGTAGCTTGACTCTGGAATAGTACTTTTCTAAGGTTATAGGCCTATGTGAAGAACGTAAGTTGTATCAGCCTATTACTTCTGATGTTTTGAAGATGGAAAAACGTGATGATGTTGATGTTGTTCATTTTTTGACTGGGTTGTTGTCCGACTGTGAGCCAATTCGTGCACAGATTTTGAGTAGTCCTCAACTTCCTTCTCTTCCAAATGTGTTCTCTCGCCTTCAACGTGCTACCCTCTGCCATGCCACATCTCAGTCGAGTGTTGATTCCATTAGTGATCGCTCAACTTTAGTGGTCTCTCAGCATGGTTTTGGTGGTTCTCGTGGCAGACGTGGTGGATGAGATGGTCGTGGCATGCGTGGTAGCTCTCGTGGGGGAGGTAGTGGTGGAGGAGGTCAGGATGACACACTCATTGTGGTCGTAGTAACCACACAGTGGCATACTGTTGGGATTTACATGGTAAATCCTCTATCTCGGTTCATCAGGTATCTTCTAAGCAAGGATCAAAATGTCGTGTCGACACGTCCGAAACGTCCGAAACGAAACAGTAGTTGAATCACAAAATTCCAGTGTTTCGGTCGAAACGGTACTGTTTCGGACCGTTTCGATCGAAACGGCATTGTTTCGAACCGTTTCGATCGAAACAGTACCGTTTCGACAAAACAGTGATATATTCGGTTCATTATGAATAATTATATTTAATACCCCATTATAATTACATTTAATACCCACTGTAATTACATTTAATACTCACTATAATTATATTTAATATCCCACTATAATTACATTTAATTCCCACTGCTCTTCTGTCTTTTATAATTTTTTTGTTATAAGAATAAATAATTACACTTAATACCCTACTATAATTATATTTAATACCCATTATAATTATATTTAATACATACTGTAATTATATTTAATACCTCACTGCTGTGCAAGTTTTTTGCTTTTTTTTTTGTTATAAGTATTAACAATTACATTTAATACCCTAATGTAATTATATTTAATACCTACTGTAATTACATTTAATACCCACTGCAATTACATTTAATTTTTAAGTATACATAAGTATCATTAATTTAATTTGATACCCTTCATTATTAGTATTATAATAAAATAGTATTATTAATTGGATTATATTACCGTAATAATATGATTTGGAGTAACTATTGTCATCATATTTATGTCACATATGGAGTTTCTCTAAGTAGCTACCCAGAGCCTACACCGATGTATGAGCCTGCTCGACACTCCACAGGGGAATGGATGTAACCATGTAAGTATGTACTCATTAGCATTTCATGTGTATTATAAGACCTTAATATTATGTAAAAATGTGTTTATTTCATAAAAATTAAGTGTTTGAAACTAATTTAAGTGACTTTCGCCTCAAGTCAAGCCTTTTTTTCCCTAAAATTTAAATTTATTCTTGTATAAATTGATGTTAACCTAATAAATATGTTGAATTAATAAATTATTTAGCATATCTTTATAAATTAATGGATTGCATTTGTGTTTCTATGCGTTTCCATATTTTTTCTGCGTTTCCATTGCGTTTCCGAAATGTTTCCGAAACGTTTCTATTTTTGAGTTGACCGAAACGGTACTTCGAAACGAAATTTTGATCCTTGCTTCTAAGGATGATGTTTCATCTGGCCCTAATCAGCCTATTCTTGATGACCTTATCACTATCTCACGGGATGAGTATACTTAGTTTATGCCCTAGAAACGGGCATCGACCTCCTCCACTGTGACTTTCACTTTGTCACGTATGACATCTGTTTATTTATTTTCTTCCACTTCCAACCCGTGGATTATTAATTTGGGAGCTTCAGATCATATAACTGGTTCTTCTAGTCAACTATCTCACTTTCACTCAGTTGCCCTATCTTGCAGTGTTAACTAGGGATGTCACTGGACCGAAGCAGGGGCAGGGGGTATAGTCTTCATCTCCATATACGCTTAAAAAAACTTCGTCCATCCCCGGTCTACCCCCGTTAACGGGGATAATTTTCATCCTCATCCCCGTCCACGAGTAAATTTCTAATCCCCGCCCCCGTCCCCGCTTCCCCTGTACCCGCTCAACAAGGATCAAAATTTCGTTTCGAAGTACCGTTTCGGTCAACTCAAAAATAGAAACGTTTCGGAAACATTTCGGAAACGCAATGGAAACGCAGAAAAAATATGGAAACGCATAGAAACACAAATGCAATCCATTAATTTATAAAGATATGCTAAATAATTTATTAATTCAACATATTTATTAGGTTAACATCAATTTATACAAGAATAAATTTAAATTTGAGGGAAAAAAAGGCTTGACTTGAGGCGAAAGTCACTTAAATTAGTTTCAAACACTTAATTTTTATGAAATAAACACATTTTTACATAATATTAAGGTCTTATAATACACATGAAATGCTAATGAGTACATACTTACATGGTTACATCCATTCCCCTGTGGAGTGTCGAGCAGGCTCATACATCGGTGTAGGCTCTGGGTAGCTACTTAGAGAAACTCCATATGTGACATAAATATGATGACAATAGTTACTCCAAATCATATTATTACGGTAATATAATCCAATTAATAATACTATTTTATTATAATACTAATAATGAAGGGTATCAAATTAAATTAATGATACTTATGTATACTTAAAAATTAAATGTAATTGCAGTGGGTATTAAATGTA